AACATCTGCCTGCCTTTCACAGAAAAAGAGAAATGCCAGTTGGCACTGGTGAATGAGAGTGTTGCTTTAAAAAGAAAATGTATACTACTTAATGAGACATGGATTTATAAATAGGTGTGTGACCCATTGGACATTTTATAGTTTTTTATCTTACTAGACTAGTACTGTAGGTTTTGCCCCTGAAGGAGTAGAAGGAAGTAGGTAGATTGAAGGGAGAAAGGAAAAAAAGTGACAAGGGAAAGAGTTGAGGTTCTCGAAGGGATTCGGGGGTTGTCAAATAGAGGAAAAAAGAATTGATGCCTCATAAGATCTGTCAACCAGGTAAAGTTATGGCAAAATTTTAGTAAAGATCAAAGTTCTATAAGCTTATTTTGGAGGTGGGAGTAGGGGAGGGGATGAGAATTCTTGTCTTCTAGGTTTGTAGCAAAATTTACTCTTGAGAACTTTATTTTTATATTGACTTAAACAAGAGGGATAGTAATGTTTTCAAATCTCAATATAGAATGCTTTGAGTATCATAAATATTTCATTATTGTATCCTTCACCCTCCTCTGCTCCCACCCACTAGGGAGATGTTGGTGGCAAAACTAGATCCATTCTAGAACCAGAGACAGAAGAGAGAATCACAAACCACAAAGGGATGGATTTAGACTAGACCTGAGTATTAGTATGTTCTTACAATGGCTCGTGCTAGATGAGCTTAAGGGCTAGTTTTGAAATGTTAAAGAAAATCTTTATACAGTTTTACATAAAGAGTGGCATTGTAAGCTCTGAGAGATTGTTGAAGGATGAACTGTTAGGAGATCTGAAACTCTGTTAGTGTTATCACCGTATGGCTAAAATCGTTTTTCTTTACTGTTCTCTGATCCTTGCTCCCAGTTGTAAAAGTTTGCTTACATTATGAAAACAGTGGTGGACCAGAAAGTAGCTTAAATTTGCAGAATCCTCTTCCTTCAGCATGCCATGGTGACAATATCATGGAAAATGGGGACTCAGTAAATATTGGCTAACTCAGTGATTGTACTTTGGGGACTTCATCTGTTTGTTTGCAAAAGAATTGCTAAATTTTGCATTTGAGATTTGAAACAATATACTTTAGGAGTTTCATAATAAATAAACCAATGAAGCTGAAAGTCACCTTAAAACAAAAGAATATTTACTTTTTTTTTGTCATGAAACATCCTTTCTGTATGCTTGCTACTATAAAAGATAGGTTTATAACTATCTTATAAAATGCTTAATTTCCAGCGCAAAAAAATTCTTAGCCAGAGGAGTTTAAATGTCAGTGTCATTACATTTAACATTTTCAATTTTTTTGAAGACTGGAAAATTCAATTTTTTTGAAGACTGGGAAATTTATACTTCTCAATATTAGAGCTAATATTAATTGAGTACTCAGTGTAGGTCAGCAACTGTTCTAAGGGTTTTATATATTTTTTATATATTTAATATTTTTTATAACCATGAGATTGGTGCTAATGACCCTTCCTTCAAATTTGCAGATAAGGAAGTTGATGCACATAGAAGTTACAGCTTTCCTGAATGGATTTGTAGATAGATTAATTACTGGCAATTTGCTATATTATTTTACATCTCTGTTATTGTTTGCATCTTCATAGGACAAAGTCACCCATACTCTGTGTGAAAAAATGTCCATGGTCTTTGACTGATAGTTAGACAGATACGAAATGTTTTCCAAGGTTTTCACATCTCTAAAAGCATTTTGAGAATGCATATCTGAAACAATCCCTGAATTTTTAGCCCCAGAGCACTAATTCAGAATTTCCTATGTATTAATTTCCTATGTTTACATTAAGAAATGGTCAATTCTGTTGAAGCTGAAAATCTTTTTTTTTTTTTTTTTTGGCTCTCTTTCTTCTCATCCATAAATCCTTTCTGATTAGAGACTGATAGATGGGCCAGAAGTCATTTCCAATTATCTTTAGAATCTGAAGAGATTTTAGTCATGGGGTGGGGAAATTGGAGATTTGGGTATACTCTTCAGGGATCTCAGGGTCCCATTCTATTTTTATTATTCATACTTGTTGGAAAGTCTGTCCCTCCTCCCCCTCTCTCATACATAAGTTTATGAATTCTTTGGAGGCAAATTGTTCTCTTTGCTTTTAACCTTTACTGCCCTAACACTGACTATGGTACTTTATACACGTGAATGTGCTTGAGTTGAAATTTCATTTATTTTACCATTGATGATAACTTGAATCACATAATTAAGTTTAACTGGTTACTTGATTTTAAAGCATTGACATAGAGATTGTTTTAGTTGTAGAAAATAAATTTAGTTGTAGAAAACAATTAACTTTGCTATATTAGACAAGTAAAGTAGCATGCCCAAGATCATACTGATAAATATCAGGTCAGTGATTAGATATGTCTGACTTCACATTCCAGATATTTCTTTACACTGTTTTGTAGAGTAAATAGGTGGTTGAGATGATGTCAAATTAGATCTCTAGTTCATCTTCCAAGAAGACAGCTTTCAACTAGATGCCATGAATTTTGTTCTACCTTCTGTGTTTCTGAATATATTTAGGGTAATCCCGGTGAAATCAGATCCATATGTTAACATTCAGATGTTTAGGACACAGTGTTAAATTTAGGTTCTCGCATTCTCTAGCTGTGTGACCATGGACAGGTTAATTTCTCTAAGCTTCAACTTCTCATTTATAAAAAAGATATAATTTCTGTCCTCTCCCACTAAGATTTTCTGAGAATTAGATGGGATAATATTAGTATATGATATTTATATATATTTCTATAATGTCAGTTCCTTTACCCACCTCTTAGGTTGCTAAGAATGATGGAATCTTAGCCTCATAGAGTGAGGAATTTCTTTCTTATCTCCATACTTTCTGAACTTATATGTAGAAGGGACTTCAACTTAGTACATGCCTGATAAATATTTGTTACATTTAATTCCAAAGGTATCATAAAGACTGAATTTTGAAACAGCAAATTGTATTCGTTGACAAATTTAGTAGCAGATTTTTGTTTATGACCATAAAGTTGGTGTTTTTTACCCTCTATCAAGCCAGATGGGTCTATTGGGGCCCCAAAATGTTATGCAATATGGGTTAAGAAAAAGGCTTTTTGGAGGAAAGAAAACTCAAGAGCTCTATGGTCAGACAGATAGAAATGCATGAAGCCTCTTATTTTGCATCATCCTATAGAAAAGCATTTCAAAGCCAGGACTTTAGCTTAATGGAAAACTACCTCATCCTTACTTTTCTCATTTAGGCTTCAATCAGATGGGCCATGGTCCTTACATGGGTATTTGGATGGGCATAGAAGATCAAACTCCCCTGCACTACCTGCCTGAAACCTTCTGAAGGATCTAGCCCCACTTACCTTGCGTACATCATTTCTCACTACTCTGTATTAGGTTTGTCATCTCCTCATCTTTTGTCTTTCACCTCTTCATCTACTTCTTCGCCCCTTTTTCTTTAAGTTCCAATTTGAACACATTTTCAATGAAACATCTCTGAACATGTACGAGAATAATCTAGTCACTGCCATCACTATGCCATTTGTGTTCTCTGCTACAATGCATGTCCTGCATTGTCATCCTTTCTCTACCAGACTTTTAGTCCCCTGAGGGTAGGGACCGTGTCTTTAACCAACCTTTCATTCTTTTATTCATTTAATGACATATATCCATTGCCTGTTATGTGCAGGGACTATGCTAGGTGCTGCAAATACAATGGTGAATAAAAGCACATGAGAGCTCTGTCCCCTAGGAGCTCACAGTCTAGTTGGGGAGATACACATAACCAAATACTCACTGAAACAGAGCTACAACTGCACCTGTGACTGTTGTTATGAATGGAGGCATATGGTGCAATGATAACCAATGCTAAAGGGTGTTGACTTGGGGAGGTCAGGGAAGGCTTTCATGAGTAAGTGAAGTTTGAGCTGGGGGATTGGAACACAGTGCATCTGGCTTCAAGTCCACACTATCATCACTATACCTGCTCTGAGCGGTTGTGCCACAGGCTTAGATCAATGAGTGAGAGCAGCTGAAGGACAGTGGAATTAGTTATATCAATTTAAGTTGCTAAAGATTAATTCCGCTAAAACTACAATATGAAACTGGGCAATTAGGAAGAATTAATAACCAAAAAAAAAAAAAAAGCAAATAAGAATAAATCCTCAATATGCTTTTTCCATTTATTAATCCTAATTTTATTTCTCAGGTGTGTATTTCTCAATTGAAAATTCACCAATACAAGGTTATTGTGCCCTACTTCTATCTTTCACAATAGCCTCACCTCTGCCAACACACACACACACACACACACACACACACACAGTTGTATTTATAATCATATAGCACTTGTAGGCCAATACTGAAAAGGTTTCAGAGCCCATGGCCTAGGGGATTTCATAGGCAGAGAGGAAAGGAGATACTTATGTGGAACTAGAATTCTCTCACCTGGCAGTTATCCTTCGAATCCACATGTGTCCAGAGCTGCCCAGGCTTGTGAATTTACAAAATAAGTGAAAAGCCTTGTCCCTGTTCTGAAGGAGCTTGCTGCCTTGTTAGAAGACAGACATGTATGAATAAAATATTCAGGGAAGCCATTCAAGATCCAGTATAATAAAGAGCTAAAATTCTTGGTGAGGAGGAGGTAGGCTTTCATAGAGGAAGAAGACCCAATTTGGGCCACGACAGTCAGGAAGATTGCTGGAAGCCAATGGCTTGAGTTGTGCCTCCAAAGAAGGATTGGATTAGAAAAAAAAGAAACTAACAGGTGTAGTATGCCCGTTACATTCTAGGCTCTATGATAGGCAATGTTTTGTTTTATTTTGGTCTCATTTCAGTCTTGCAAAGCATATCTGCATATTCCTATTTTAGAAGTGAGGAAACTAAAGCTTGGTTAATGTTATAAAATATTGTCTCAGATTCAAATACTATCAAAGATTGTCTACATTGCACAACTTCTTTTTAGACCTTTCCCTATATTTTTATACTTTGGTTTTAGAGAAATACACCAGATTCATCATGATTGAAGACAACAAGGAAAACAAAGAGCATTCCTTAGAAAGAGGAAGAGCAACTCTCATTTTTTCCTTAAAGAATGAAATTGGAGGACTTATAAAAGCACTGAAAATCTTCCAGGTAAGCACTTCATATTTCTGCATAAACTCTACTAAAATGACTCTCTAAAGGTATGTTTAAAATATAGATTATTGTAAATTCTTCAAAGGTGGACTACAGACATTTCTTAAGCCCTTAAATTTCTAAAATATTGCCCAATTCTAATAAATGGATAAGAGATACAGAAATTTTTCAGAAGAGAAACTATAACTAGCAAATAAAGAAATGGGGCTATCTATGGCCATGCTACCCTGAACGTGCCTGATCCTGTCTGATCTTGGAAGCTAAGCAGGGTTGGGCCTGGTTAGTACTTTGATGGGAAACCACCTAGGAAGACCAGGTGCTGTAGGCATTAAAAAAAAAAAAAAAAAAGGGATTGTAAACTGACAAGGTCCTTGCAATCTGTGAGGTCAACCAGGGATTGTCTTGCCTTAAAAAAAAGAAAAAAGAAATGGAGGAAGAGAGAGATTCACTGCATAGATATCAGAGAAGCAAATTTTAATTTTATTTTAATTAAATAAAATATTTAAATTTTAATGACGTTTAATGACATTAATAATATAGTTTATTATATTTTTATATAGTAAAATAGCAAAGATTTTCCAATTATACTTTACCCTATTGCCACAGCTTCAATGCACTTGGCACTTAAATACACATTTGGTGTGAGGGTAAATTGGCGTAATGGGTGGGGAAACAATCTGGTAATATGTATTATGAGCCTTAAAATGTTCACGTTTTAGTCCATTTCCATAAATCTATCTAAAGGAAATAGAGGTCAGCGATGCAGAACACGAATATCTATTGAGTACTTACAATGGGCCAGGTGCCCTGCTATATACTAAGGATGTGGACCAGAACAGAGACACAGTGTATACCCTTGCAGTATGTATAATCTAGGGGGGAGCACAGACACTAAACAAATTATTATAGTAAGTAAATAATTACATGTGTGTAAAATGACCTGAAAGAGACGTACCAGGTACTATGATAGTATTCAACTGGGGGACCTAACCTACTTTAAGGGCTTAGGGACACAAAGATTTATTTATAGTAATATAAAAATTATTAATAAACTACTTGTCGTATGGTAGGGGACAGGTTAAATTATGCTAGAATGTCATTGGGGTTAAGTTTGTAGGTTCTGGAAGCAGACCACTGAGTTCAGATTTTTACTCTGTCATTTATTTTATTAGCTGAGTAATCATGGGCAAATTGATTAGTCTCTCTGCATTTCAGTCTTTACATCTATAAAATGAGAACCTACTTTTTAAGGTCATTGTGAGAATTAATAGAGTTAATGAGTAAAATGCTTAGGATAGTTCAGAGTACCTTATCAATAAATGTTAGCTATTTTAAAAATCAAATTTATATCCATATGATATTCTATTGTATAGTCATTTGAAAATAATATTTCAAAGAATTAAAAATTTTAAATATAGACAAATAGTCTAGAAGAGTTTGAAAGGCATCCGTTTTCCTACTCAACACATCATATCCTCAGTCCCACTCCCCAGAAGCAACCTCATGTAACTATTTCTGTTCTTTAAATGTAAATAGTACTCTTACATCTCTCTTTGAGTTATCAACTTTACATAATACTTTCTACTTTAAATGATACTAATACCTCCTCCCTCCCTGCTCCCTCTTAACTCTTCTGAAAGTCAGATAATTAAATGATTATTTTTAGCTATTCTATTGATTACCTTGGATTTTTAAATAATATACCTATATTGCTTCTTTCATCAACTTTAAACAAAAATTTATTGTTAATAGAATACTTGTGCATGGTTCAAAAAGTCAACTCACACTATAAAGCTTGCAAAGAAAACAGTGGTCTTTCTGCTTCATCTCACTTCATTCCTCAGCGCCATTAAATTTTTTTTGTTAACCTTAGGTGCAGAGGGTTGAGTTAATCATACTTGTTAAGTCACAGGTACACTATCATCATTGATTTATACAGCCTCCTGTTTTATGTCATTGTTCCTTTTGCTCTTCATCTCTTTCTTCTGATCAACAGCTGCTCTGTTTGATATGTACATTGAATTATTTTAATGTGTACTTAAGAATATGTAGAGTCTTTGTGGATGCTTATAATTAGTAATTTATATAAATGTTATTGTATAGTGCACTTTTTCTTTCACTCAGCACTGTGTTTCTAAGACCCACCCGTGCTGCTGTGTGTCCATCTCATTCATTCTTCTAACTCTGCTGCATAGTGTCCCAGCTGTGAACTCATCCATTTTACTTACCCTCAGCCTATAGGAGGTAACCAGTTCCAACTCTTTCAACTATATTTTCTAGTATTTACGTCCATATTTATAAATAATCTGCTCGTATTTCTGGGTTTTTTCAATTGTAGATATTACTATTTATTTCCTACAGCAGAAATAAAGATTTAGCTTTCTTGACACAGCCCCCTTTCCAGTGGCCCCCTTAATTTCTCTTCCTTCCATCTTTCCAAGGTAGTCATGTCCCAGTTTTGGACTATGTCAGTCTTTAGTGTTTTCATTATTAAGATTCAATAAATCTCATTCAAAGAAGATTCATATTATCCATTATTCTGACTCTTCCTTTCTTGTAAAACATGATTGCAACATAGTGTTTAAGAACATGGACTGTGAAGCTGGACAATCTGAGTCCGAATTATAGCTTTTTGGGAAAATTGCTTAAACTCTCCGTGCTTCCGTTTCTGTAACTGAAATTCCTGATAGGAAATGTTTCGCTTATCACTCCTACTTTATCTGAATTTTCCTGAATTTTATTGACTATATCTTTCTTCCAAATGGACTTTTTAAATTATTTAGTTAAATTTCCTTACCAAATTCCATCGAGATTTCCATTTTGATGGCATTCAATAGCAATTTGATAGCAATCAATAGAATAATTTTGGAAAAATTGACATTTTGCATTTTTCTCTCCAAAAACATAATTTAACTTTATATTCATTCAAGTTATCATTCAGAAAATATTTATAAATGCATTCTTATTGTAAATATTCATAAGAGATAGATTCAATAAAATTCTCCTTTACTCTTGATCAATTCCAGTATATTTTGTAACTGGCTTTATTCTATTGATTCCATGATAAATTCTATGTTCCAGGATAAACCCCACCTATTCCAGTTTCCCAACATCCCTGACATTCACTCTCCCTTCTTTTTGGTACGTGTTCTCTGATAATTCTCACCTCTTTCCTACCTTTGCTTGTATAGTCCTCCTGTTTAGAATCCTTCCTTCTGCTTTCTGCCTTTGTATTCTATCTATACTTTAAGACTCATTTCAGTTTCCATCTGCTCTATGGAGCCTTCTACTCTCTCTAACTCATGATGCTTTTTCCCTTCACTGACCATCTTTTGCTTGTGAACATCCCCTACTTGTATTTTCTCATAGTCTTTTGTGTGTTAGACAACTAGGTTATACGCTCGTTGTATGTCTTACCCTTCTTTGTATGCTTCACAGCTCTAACCTGGCTACATAGGTGTTCGCTAAGTTAATTCAATTGAACTGGTTAGTATTGGAGATCATCGACACTAACCTCATTTTTTAGGTGAAAAAACTGTTGTGTGACTGGTTCTTATGTTTCATTATTGTGCCAGTGCTTTTCCTCAGCTACCAAGATTGGTAAGAGAAGATACCCCGCTCTCACAGGTTTACACAAGTTGTGCCCACGGCTCAGACTGCCATGAAAAGACCAGAAGCAATCTGGTTCAGCTGGTTACTAAGTCTATAGCTCGAGAGATTTAAGGTATTAAATACTCTGTGTTCAAGCTGTTCATCTAATTTTATTAAATGCATTTTTGCAAAGGAAACTTTTCTTTCTAAAGGACTACCATTATTACTTTTTAAAAACTAGCTTTTATTGGTGAGAATTTTCAAAAGGCTCTTTTTATCTAGGAGACTTGGTATATTGATTTGAAGATCAATCTCTTCTGGCAATCTGAATGGCTTCTAGTGAGTGTTATTAGTTTCTAGAGGGCGTGATAAAATTTTCAAACTATTTTGAATAGCACCTAATATTTAGAGGAATTGCTTTGCTGTTGGCAGCACTGAAAACAGCCTTTTCACCTTTTGGCTATTATGACAAGTGTGAAATTGATTTTTAGTGGTAGTGAAAGTTATCTGCTCAGAGACAACTATTTGAAGCAGTCATGTTGTAATCTTTACACAGGAGAAGCATGTGAACCTGTTACATATCGAGTCCCGAAAATCAAAGAGAAGAAACTCAGAATTTGAGATTTTTGTTGACTGTGATATCAACAGAGAACAACTGAATGATATTTTTCAATTGTTGAAGTCTCATACTAATGTTCTCTCTGTGAATCCACCTGATAATTTTACCATGAAAGAAGATGGTAAGTTTGAAAAGCAAAAATACTACTCAGGAAATTAGGTACATAATGTGTGTCCAATCTTATATTTATTTTGAAGGATAAAAGTAAAAATAAAACTCTCTCTCTTAAAATTGCTTACAGTCTGGTAGTGAAGGGAACACAAAATATAATTGTTCAAAATTCTAAAGAAAAATTATAAGGTGACATTTTATCCAGTGTGATACAAGCAAAAAGGAAACCCTGAATGTCCGAAAGAATTCGCAATAGTTAGAAACCAATTAAGTTATCTCAATTTCCAAATCGTCAAGCATTTCTTAATTTTACAAACCTTCAATTCACAATTCTTGAGCACCTAGTAACTCTTACAGGGCTTAGAATCTAGCAGATATTCAGTGAATATTTGAATTTGTTGAGAATGTTGGCAGTTGCTGACAACTATGATATGAAATACACAGTGTACAACATTCTTCCCTGTCTCCACTTCCACCAAAAGCAGATGAAAAAGAAGTAAAGCCTTCTAATGTTTCAGATATTCAGATAGCAAAGATCTTCTACTGTGGAAAAATCCTGTGGTTCACCTGGGGCAAAATCAGCCATGTTTTATACATGGTACTAAATTTAAAATAATCCCTTTAGATTATGTCAGAATATTTGGTGTGTAATCAGAACTGATATTCATCTGCTATGTATTTGTACAGCTGTATAAGTTATTGAAATATTAATATACTTTCCTTTCTGGCTAGCGGGTAACTACTTCCCTGAGTCCTTTGAGTGCTCCCAACCATGCCTGAAGCCTGTGTGCTCCAGATCTTCCCCTAGGAGTTTCAGGCCCGCCACAAACAGCTGCAGGGGTAACAGCTGGCAGAACAGGAGCCTAGGACTTTGTTTGTGTCTATTTTGAGTGATATGATTGCTGCCCCTTTTGTATTTGTTGTTTAAATCTCTTGAATATCACTTCTGGGTATATTAGATTGGAACAAAAAGGATTGAGTTCTAGTCCTCTAGCTTCCATTATGGAGGGATGAGTTACCTTGGGTAAATTACTTTATCTTTCTGGACTTTGGTTACCTCATCTATAAAATGGAGAGTTTTATAGAGGCTAAAGGGTTCAGTTGATATTCAAGGAACACAACTTGTGTTGGATATTTCTAAGAAATGAAGATTTAAGAATATATAGTCTCTAACCTAGAGTCATTTCCTTTCTTTCCTATAAGACAGATATATACAGATACATTATAATGAAACACAGTAAAAACTTTTAGAAAATGAGAAACATAGTGTCACAGGAACCCTGAGGACACAGAATTAGTTCTACCTACAGGATCAGGGAAGCCTTGTTTGATTTGGGCCTTGAAAGAGAAGGGTATTCTCGGGAAAATAGAGGAAGGGGGAGGAGCAGGAAGTGGGATAGTTATTTCAGGCAGAAGAACAGCATATGCAAAAACCCAGTGTCTTATGAGGAATTGTATGACTAGGTGACGGTGAGAAGATCAGAGTGGTAAAGACATAAATGATCTCTAGGATCCTTTCCATCAACAAAAATAAACATTCAAAGTTCTTATTTAAACTTTCACCTTGGTCTGGGAAGTTGTTTATCCTTTTTTCTGCTTTTTTAGGATAGTTAAATATGTAGTTAAAAAAAATTTTTTTTGGAACTTTTGGTCTATTACCAAAGTACAACTTTTTCTAACACTTAAGAAATCAAGGCTCATAAAAAATTTTAAGCTCGAAAATTCTGAATAAAATGTACTTATTAGAAATAGAGCAATTTGCTTGTTATAAATTTTGCCTCAGCGTACAAGCTAAAATTAAAACACTCATCTAAATGCATTTATGACTTTCTTAATTTCTTCTTCCTTATTGTCTTATTTAAGATTGTCTCTTCATCTGTTAGTGGTTTTTGTATTCTGCAGATATGGAAACTGTTCCTTGGTTTCCAAAGAAGGTTTCTGATCTGGACCATTGTGCCAACAGAGTTCTGATGTACGGATCTGAGCTGGATGCAGACCATCCTGTAAATATTTTTACTAAATATTTTCATGAAAATAATTTAAAGCAAGCTAAAACTTAAGGGCGATTTTTGGAAAAAGTGCTTATTCTAGACTAAATAAGATCTTGTTTTAATTTGCATTTCAGGAAGTTTAGTAGACCTCCATGCTGGTGGAATTGTGACTAACTGCCTGAAGAGCATCTAACTTCATTGGCTCCAAAGCATCTGTCACATGCCCGGC